TGCGGCAGAAAGCAGCCTCGACCTGCTGCTGCCTTCCCTGACCTCCTCCTGGGAGGCAGTCTGAAGGCACAGGGGAGAGGGCAGCAGAGAGTTGGAAGGGTGGGGAGAGGTTTCTTTCAGCAGCAGGGCTGGTCTGTGCTGTTGGTGGGCTGTGGGCCTGGCCTCTCCAGGGGAGGTGGTTCTGCAGTGGAATGCTTGGTTTTGCCAAGAAATGTTTTTGTATTTGTTGTTGTGGTGTGGGGAAGGTTGTTGGCTTTTTTTTTTTTTTTTTAAAAAGAGCAAGTGAAAACAGTTTTTGCAAAATCCATTAAATCAGAATAATAATTTACCATAACAGTTCTAACATAAAATACTTATATTGGCCAAAGGCTTAGAAGACATTTTCATCTCAAAAATACTGGACAGAATGAGCACGGCTATTTAACTGCGCTAAGAGCATGACAAGAGCATTATGCAGTGCCTTCAGCTGATGGTTCTGGTAGAGTAGCAGGTCTACAACACGTAGTAAAGCACAGGACTGCATAACAATACTGATGACAGATGGCTGCAAGGTACTGCCAGTTTAATAAGCTACAGTGACTTATATGATGTATCGCTTGTATCCTACAAGGGGGAAAAAATTAACATTTGTCAAGTTTTCCAGGTTGTTTTTTTTTTGTGTGTGTGTGGTTTTGTTTTTAGAACTTTTGTAGATGCTATATTGTCTTTCCAAAATAAATGTAGACGGAAGTAGAAGCAAGGCTCCCTCATAGTACCAGTTTGCCACTCAGTAGCCTTCATAACCTACTTCTATTCAGCCTCACTTAATGGGCCCTCACAGCATTCTTCGGGAATATGCAAGTATCTTTCCGTACAGGGATAGAAATGCTCTGGAACATTATGTGGTTTGCTTAAAACTCATTATACTGAAATACCCCCACATAAATTTAAATACTTAAGCTCTGCCTTGAAAAATTACTCCTAACTGATCGAACGAAGAGCATATTTGGACTGTTGGGGATGAACAAGATCAGGACAGGAAAATATTAAGATGGTTTAAGATTTACGTTAATAATTATACATTTTTAAAAACATTTAAGTCAAGAACACGCGTTTCAAGCTTAGGAAAAATACATTTTATTTGTTATCTTTAAATAATCAGTATCGCATTTAGCATCTTGTGTGTGTATATATATGTGTGTGTGAAGATAGTACTGCCCCGGATTCATGTGAAAATTCTTTTTTATTCTGAAGTTTTTGTTCTGATAATTTAGTCTACAGGAAGCTTGCATACAATAATAAAAAATGGAATTAAACAATTCTAACCTGTTTAAGAACACACTGTATTTCATCCATAACAGTAGCTAAATTTTTGATTGTCTTATTCAGCTGACCCTCAAATTGCAAATTTTTATCATCCGAGATCTTCAAATTTTCTTGCAGCTGGCCAAGGTCTTTTTTCACTTCTTTGAGCTCCGTAGATAGACTTTTGTTCGAATTCTCCAGTTGTAGTAGCGGGGAAGAGGGGAGGAAAAGTCAGTCACTTCCAATGCTGCGTACTTCACATCTTAAAATTCCATTTACATGCCAACACCATAACTACCAATTTTTAAAGAATATTAAAAACTGCACTGCGTTACCATTTGATAATACTAAATTCTGACTACATTTGGAAGTCATATTCAACTTGAATAAAAAAGATAAAAGCATTTCAGCATGGTGACAATGGTACCCAATAATAGTTGGTGTGCAAGTTCAAAGGATTTGGGAAATAGAAAATTTAAGTTTATGGTAAGCAAATAGCTAAGAAATTTAGATCACAAATAGTACTCAAATTGGTTTATCTACTTAAAAAGTCTTAGCATCTTGCATCCATGTAAGTACCACCTTCAAAGTAACATCCCACCTGTTTTTTCTTCTAGTAACTGAAGCTTTTGTTCTATCTCTGCCCGCACTCTTTCACTCTTCTCCAGCTTCTGTAAAAGGCTTCCAACATCCACCATAGCTCCATTGTACACAATGAGGCCGACATTTTCTTCTATGGCTTTTGATTCTTGCTTTATAGTAGGCGATGGTAACAGTAATCTGTTTCCTGTATTAGATTAAGTAGCATTAGGAAATAATTCTGCCATTTTTCAGTTCTAGTAACTAACCTCAAAAACTTCTTAAAATAATAAAATCCTAAAAGAATAAATACAGATTCAAGTTTGCTGGTCTATCCCTCATATTTCTCTCCTCCTTCCTTACTCCAACCCCCCCCTCCCCCCCCCAAAAAAAGGAGCATGCTCTTTCGTGACATTCTTCTATGCCTCCCTTCTGCAGTAATTTGTCTTCAAAAATCAGGCTCTGTTCTACTACCTACAGCACTGATCCTCCTGACTGCAAAACTGCAGTGAACGAGAAATGCTGTTCATCAATATTCAGCATTAACTTCCGTCCTCCTTCGTGTTCCAAGATATTAAGATTTATCCTATAGATGCAACAAGATGTGCTGGAAGCCAGAAATACTGTAATTTATGAACTGCCCAAGATTTAATTTTCCAAACTGGCAGGTTCCCTGTGGACCTGAATTAGTTTCTGCAAGAGAGTAAGTATCTCAGAACTCTCATTATCATTCGCACAGAAACAATTCTCTAGAAGTCTGTGGCATAAAAAAATAATACCACCTAACATATCTTCCTGTAGCTCTTCAGACTCCTCTTGATTTTCTTCATCTTTAGAAGTATCTGTTAGTCTTCTGTAAAAGCAAGATTCTCTAAGCACTACTTTATTAAGTAGCTTCTTCACCTAAAACACAGCCATAGAAAGAAATGTTACTTAATACACAGACATTATATTACCTGAACAAGAATGTCTTAGCTTGGAAAACTTAAGAGAAATTGCACAGCCTTTTGAACTTTAACATAGTGGGGCTTAAAATGAAAACAAGCTAGGGAAAAAAAGAAGATACAATTTTGAGACAAAAGCTACATATATTATATGGGCATATTAAGAGCTGCAAATTTCACCTTTTCATTCCAAGACAATTTACAAAAGATTAAACTAGTATTTCACTGTAAACATGAAGTGGCTACATAAAAATCAGGGATCAAGTATGTAAGCAACAGCCTTTAGAAGCTAAACTATATTCCTCCCAGTTAGAGCATTCCTGTAACATTTTCAAAAAGATTTCTATTACTACACAAAACCTGAGCACGTGACAGGTGTAGTCCAAGAGTGTACAGTATCTCCTCCATGTCCTTCTCCAGAAGATATCCACAATGACTTTGATCAAAATAAACGAAAGCCATCAGAAGATCCCTATTAAGAGTTACCATCTGCGTCTTGTCTTTCTCCTACAGAAAATTCATTATGGGATCATTAGGAAGTTGAAGTATCATTTTCCCACCATCTACTAAAAAAAAGTAAGCTTTTCAGTTAACAGAAGTTTTCCTCTGTTCATTTTATCGTTACTTTCAGTCGAGTGATTAATATAACTAGCATTTACCTACTGAGCTCAAATATAATATAAGCAAGCTATTTAGGACAAGTAATCTTTCAAGTATTTAAAACAATTACAGCACAATGGACAGTAACATCTGGTAGACACTTTCCTTTTGTTCATGATAGTATGTCAAAAAATTTGAAGAATTAACCTAACTAAAAAAGTAAACATCCCTTCTCCTCCCAATCATATTTTACTGAACAGCTGTTTTCAAAGTGAAATCCCCATGAACATGTAATGGATAAGCATCCAGCACTCACAGCTACAGCAGTTCTGCAGACTGTGTTTTCCCATTATTCCTATTCCTACATCTCCTATTTTTCCTTGAAGAAAAAAATAAAGAGAATCAGAAACTTATTTTATTCTTGCATTTATAAAGAAAGTTTAATCGTAACAAATCAAACTTATGCTGTTCCTTATTCTGAACTGTGGAGGCAAGCTATCAGCCTCATGACACGAAAAGCATCCACTTTCCTGCAGAGAGATGTAAAAAATTCACATAATAATTCCAAGCTTCATAACTGAAAAGCCAGTTTATGAATCAAGCTAAGCTTCTGCTTTTCTTATGTAAGAATACAGCAGTTGAAAATAATGGATAAAATAATCACATCTGCTGCCTCTTATGTGCACATACAGCATTAATCCTCACATCTTTCAGACAGATCAGTATCTCATATAAGAAAGTTTTCCAACAGCTTTCACCCAGTGAACTTTAAAATGTAAGTGAAAGTAGGCTGTAAGCACCTTACCCAAAGCTGTCACACGTTCCCTAACTTCTATATACACTTAATGTTTCAGTCCAGAAGTGCTGAAGGAATCAAGGAGTGCAAATAGGTCTTATAATAAAGTTAAGGTCTAATTAGGACACCTCTAACAAGGTTATATGTAGTTGTTAAGAAAGGTGTTAATTACTTTATCTTTAGACGACCTCTCTTTACAATGCCTATTTCCCTCTCTTCTGTCCTCCCGTTTGTTCATTTCCTCTTCATCCCGGTCTGTAAAACAGAAAGAGAATTCAACATACGCACAGCAAACGATTCTATAACCATTATCTCAAAATACGTATGTTCATTGAAAAAGTTCACATAAACCCCCAAATATCTGAAATTAATAATTTCAAAAAAAAAAAAGAGGTATTTAAGTGAGTCCTGTTAAATTTTGATTTGTCTCTGGTCTTATTTTAACATAAGCCATTTGTCAGGTTTTTTTTTCCCCTGTGTCTCTCTCACACATACAGGTTAGAAGAACTGAAACAAATCCTAACCAGGCCAAAATGAGTTCCGCCAACATCACCATCTATTTAAGTGGTGTGCAGAAAATTACCACAATTCTCCCTAATGAGGCTTGGCAGAGTCTGCATTCAGCTATGGTTATTCCTATCAGGACAAAATCAGTACTATTTACTCTCAAATATTTTATATCATGAAAACTGTATCAACTATATAATTAAAAGCATGTCTTTATACTCATGTCTGAGTGAGGTATTACTGATCCTATGATTTAGATTCTCCAAGAAGTTACAGATCACATCGCTTATTAGATGTGACTTACAAACTGCAGGTTTTTTGTTTGAAGGTAGACAGTACAGTAAAACTAAATCTAAAATCAAGAGAGAAAGAGGAATATGACAACTGCAGGGACGGATTACGGCATGCAGCTCTGTACCTTATGTGCAAGTCTTTGGTCAGAGAATCACGTGCCAAGTTCAGCTTTAAGCTCACCTTTCTTGTGAGGAAAACTTTGGAAAAAACTATGTATCACAACACTTGTCTAATTTTGCCAACACGTTTCTGAGAACCAATAGCTTTCTCCTGCACCTCCACGGCATGTTGGATTGTTCTCAGCAACTCTGACTGGGAACGGCACAAGGACAGATTATGGGAAGTAGCAGCACTTGTACAGAACAGACAAGCCCAGGGCACTCTCACAGCCAGATTATAAGCAATTAAGAGTTATTTTGGAAACCACAGATTAGCACCGATTTTTTAAGGCTGGTGCAGTTCTCTGCCAAAAATACAACTGAAAACGCTGGCTAGAAAATGGTGGGACTGCAATATCTAAGCAGGTCAAACCCACATCTCTAGCAAAAACTCTCCATAAAAAGACAAAAACCCCAAAGCAATACAAACCAAAAAGCATACACCACATCTTACGCCTTTCTGAATCTCCGAGCAGGGAAAGAGGGCTACTGCTGCTACCTGGAGACAGGAAAGTTCCCCAGCCCCTTTCCCCATTTCTTTAGGCAAACACAACTCCACCCAAACAGAAATCAACTCCTCATAACATCATGTAAAGAGCACCCCACACTACATTCTGTCCTAATAAAAACAGGATGACATTTCAGAACTGAGAAATAGGAAGTTAGGCACTTAAGAGTGGCTTGGTTTTTCAGAGGTGCTGAATACTCACATCTCCTACTGACTTCAATGGGAGTTGCGAGTGGTCTGCATTCTGAAAAAAATAAAACCACTTCTATATGCATGCCTTACTTTGAGTACCACAGCTAGTTTATATTAACTATGTTCATACAATGCCTAGCATAAAGGCACTTACATTTTAAGTAGAACTGGTCAGAATTACTAAAATAAAATTAGTCTAATAATGCAATTTTAAATTGTCTAGTTCCAGTGCATTCTCCAGCTTGAAAGAACATATTCAGTAGCAATAAAAAAATTTTCTGAAAGCCACAAAATTCATAATTCAAGATACCTTCATCTTCGTCTTCAGCATCTTCTGCCTCCATCGGATCATATTCTTCTTGGTTATTGTCATCTTCAGTTTCTTCTTCATCTTTAGAATCATCTTTCCTCTTATCTTCCCTCTGTAACAAAAGTTCCTAAAAATTTAGTCAGAACTAAAAAACAGGAAAGTAAAAACCTCATTACCATTCGTTCAAAATTTGCACATTTAGTCACTTAAAAAACCAAATGCGATCTATGTGATATAGCTGAATGTTATATAATGTATTATGTATATAAGTATTATGTATATAATACTCCCAATACACCTGTAAAATTTTTAAATTACTGAGTATGATTGAAGCATATTTAAATAGATCAACGAGTCAAAACAATTAACTAACACTACAAGACCTGAGTCTTTGAAAGCAATGAAGTAAAATTCAAATAGAAAGAGTTTAATATTGATCCAGACAGGATAGTACTTCATATGAGCTAGCTGCAGACCTTCTTTTCATCTCTATCTTCTTTTTTGTCTTTATCATCTCCAGATTTTCTCCTCTTAGGTTTTGGATCATCTGCTTCATCATCTTTTTCTTCTTTTTTTTCTTTTCTCTCATCTTTTTTGCTTTTTTTGTCTTTTTTGTCCTCCCTCTCTGGGAGAGAAATCAGTGCTTTGTAAATTCTGACACCAAAATCTCTCTGAAGCATTTCATTGAAGAGTTCTGCAAACAATGATACCTGCACATAAAAAAGAACGAAAAGAGAACTAACAAAAAGTTTTACAATATATATTAAAAATTTGTACACTTATGATTAAATAGCTATGAGGTGCTGTCTTACCAACTTTCATTATGTCAGAATTTTATGTAGTGTTAGATTTCTTACTATCTGCTTTGAATAGGGAAACCTTAAACAACTTTATAAAAATGCTTCTTTCCTGTACTGCAGTAGTTTAGGACCTAGACTAGCTGTATAAATTATAAACTCAGTTCCATATCTGAAAACCCGCGCATTTCTTCTAGATATCATACAGTGACTATACTGCTATTATAAACCATGTACCAAAGACTGGACAATTTTTTCTAGGTATTGCAAAAAGAAACTAACTTATTTAAGTTTTATTTTGCCATGCTATCAAACTTTTACAATTTAAGAATACTGCTGGTATCACACAGAATTCAAAAGAAAAAAGAATGGCTAACTGTAAGTAGCATAGCTAAATTACCTCAAAGGAATGTTCTTTATTATCTTCTAATCTATAGTCCAGAAGAACACTAAGAGACATAATGCTACAGTCAAACTTCCCACTCTTTGCTGCCCAGTTAGGATGTACAATGATTGCTGGTTCATCAGGCAAGATATATCGTCTCTCCCGCCGCTGACGTTCCATTTCTTCTTGACGTTTTCTTTCCTCTTCCTACAAAGAGGGAAAAAAATAACATACAGCATATTCCAAAGCTGAAGTTTCAGCCTATATATTAGTTTTTAGGACTCACTGCTTTGAAGAAAGTGAAGGAAAGCCTAAGCTACTGAATGCAACACAGAAGACAGACAGAAGTCACAGACTAGAATTTCCAGAATGCATACTGTGTCCACTGCCCACACTCACCTAAGATGACTGGAAACTTGAGCAACACAAAGCAGGACATGCAGAGTTGTTTAGCACACAGAGCAACGAGCACCTTCCAACTATCTTATGGTGCTAACCGCAGCATGTTTACTCGACACTGGAAGGACTCAAGCTAGTTCACTTCAAGAAATGGTGTGCAAGCTAGCAAAGGAGTCAAGGCTCCCGAGCGGTCTTTTGTTTGTTTAGGGGTGGTTTTAGAGCTGTATAGTACAGTAAGCTGTCTTATTCCTTACACAGGAAGAGTAAAGGCTTCATACATCATCTTCCCAAAGATAGCCAACACAGCTTTAACAATTACCAGATGACAATTGACTTGGCTCTTCTGATTATGGGAAAAGCAATCTCTATAGATACAACTGATGCAAATCAAACAAAAGCGTAAAAAAGGTAAAATCCCAAGCAGCTTACTGATTGCCAAGAGAGAAATATTAAAGTCTTACGAGTATGGAGAAAAAAAAGTCATGGCAGAGCTTACGCTTTTTAAAAAAGCAAGCAAAATCAAAGCTCCCTCCCTTAATCTTAAAGAAAGCTGTGGCAAGAAACCCCAAAATAGCTGAAGCCCATCCGAGCTGTGGGAGAAGGCAGCAGCTGACAGAATTAGCAAGCACATGGCCTTTGCTCCCTCAACACAGTTTACACAGATATGTAAAATTTCAAATCATCCCATACTGATTAGCAGGTAATACACAAAAAGGCAGGTTTAAAAGCAACCAACACAGAACACATTCTCCAGATATTTATGCCCCTTTTCTGTGGTTGAGCTTTGGCCTTATTGCACAGATCTTGTTTATCCTCGTGAAATAGCAAGACAGACTAAGTAGTACTGAAACTACCAATGGCAAAACTGAGAAACTTCAATACACAGGAAGTTTATCCAAAAGCAAAAATTAAAGCTTCATAATAAGGGAAAACAAACCTAGGCAAACCACTAGCCATGTGAAGAAACTGGACTGTCTGAGACACTATAACCTTCTACAGACTGGAACCTGCCCTCCCCCCCATTTCCACAATAATTCCCTAAGGCTTGTATACCACTGAAAGCCAATACAACTAAGCAGCTGCTTTTCATGTAGGTTAAAGAAGTTAAGATCTTGTTAAGTGTGTTCACCTGTTCTCGAGCATAGTTTTTCTGGGGAGGTTGGGATTTATTTTTCCTTACATTTAAGGTCTGACATTAATTCAGACACCCTTAGTGCAGTTGCACATTTCAGCTGACTTTGCTGATATAAAGAAATTGAAACTTCCCAAGATTTCGTTCCAGTTCAGCAGCTCAAGTTACAGCAAGAGTTCCCAGTACAGTCATCCGAGAACTACAAAATCCCAACACAACTAGGCATATTCCTGTACTTTTTATACTTATGTATTTATTTATACAAATTTTATATATTTTATGTATTTATGTGTATTTAATAATACTTAAACCAAGTATGTCCAAAGCCTAACCTCTTTGTCATCTTCAGATTTCCTATCCTCCTCCTCTTCCTCTTCTTTCTCAGACTTCTCTAGCTCCTTTTGCTCTTCTTTTTGTTCCTCTACTTTCAGCTGCTTTGTCAGTCGAGCTATCAACTGAGATTTCAGTCCTTTAGAGCTAAGGGTTCGACTTTCTAATTCTTTGCGAAGGTCATTTACCTGGTAAATAAAAGCTCTGTAAGTGGTACCAACCAGTGACATTGCAAAACATGTGATTAACAGAAAAGGTGAAGTAAAAATTAAGTAAGAGCACTGATGAGTCAACTGTATTTTTTAAATCTGTACTGAAAAACACTAATATTCACTGATATAAAACACACTACATTTAAAGTTGTGTTCTCAGAGTACCCCTTTTTAGGGGACTTTTCACAGGGACAGGGAAAGGATTTTACTATAGTAAAATAGTTTATTACTTTTAATCCTTTCGAGGAAACCTTTTATTACGTCTCCTGACATACATTTTTGTATAATTATTGCCTTTTTAAACTAACATTAAAGTATTTTAGACCCCACATTTTTTAATGCAAGTTGATATGACCATATTACTGCATAACTTTCATTTTCCAGTTAATGTATCATATGTGATACACTTTAATTGTACAAAGTTCAAAAGTTCAGAATAGTTTCAATTTGCTGTATTCACTTATTAAAATCAGGAGTCACACTTGCATACTGTGATATCACATCTAATTCCTATAAAATCAGCAAGGAAGATAAAACACTACTGAAATTTTTTTGCTCAGTTAAGGGAATATACAGCTATATTTCGGGTCATGCCTTAAAAACGAAAATGTACAATAGAATCAAATTTTAAGAAAAGTGTTAATTACCTTCATTGTTTTGGGATCCAGTTTAGACCAGTGCGTAGGTGTAGAGATCTCTTTAGCTTCCCCATCATCCTTCTCCTCTTCGTCCTGACAAATAAAATTTAAAAATTATCATTCAGAAAGCTTGAAAGCATTTCAGTTATTTTTTAAATTCTGTTGCTGATCTGTGCAAGGTCACAACTGTTTCAGATAGTCTTCTCCTAAAGTTATTATTTAGACAAGTTCACACACACATTCTACCACTTTATAAATGATCACAGTGCCACTCAGCCAATACAAGCCAGATCTGTGGAACACAAAAGGGTGATAAGCAACACCACAAAGAATATCGGGGTTACACAGACACTGCTGGTCTCCATTAACCACACAGTGTGTGATCTTCCCCCAGATTTTAAATCCCCCAAATTACTCTTTGTTCAGTCAGACCTTCCCTTATTCCAAGATGTTGATCAGCCACATGGCCTGAAATTCAGATGTTTCAGAGTAGTGTTTGTTCAATTTCAAATATCACAATTAGAACTGGCCACAGGAGAGAATTTAGAAATTTTAGAAAATGGCAAAATGTTTAAAGACAGCTATTCATAAACTGCATCTCACTCAACAACTGGTCCCAGATTCCAGCAACTACGTCTATGATAAAAAATTTTCTGCGCATCATAAGCACAATTTAATTCCATTTGTGATATCAGCACACACATTTAAAGTTAGTGAACTAGCTGAAATAAAAATAAAAAACAACATTCACTACACTGCTGAAAGCTGGTTTACCAGTCATTGTTACCAGTTATGTTCCTCCTATGTATGTATGTTGTGTAGTATGTGGTGTGCATTTTGTGCCTGTGTTCCTGTGCCTGTGAGAAGCAGAAATAGAAAAAGGGATTAGCGTTCAGTGCCTGTTCTCCATCAGCCTCCTTGCGTTCACCCTGAAGCTTCTCGACCAGCTGCTGCTTGTATCCTCGGGAGAGGGTTTCCCACTCTGAGCGGGTGGGAAGGCAATGCCAAACATCCGGGAAAAATAAAACCACTGTCTCCACATGAGCTGGAACTGTACGCCCCTTGTGGGTCTCCTCAGGGCGATGGTAGCGAATCTCTGCAAAACGGTACCTGTTGCAAGGGAAGAAGCATGTTGGAAAAAAAATTCTACAATACATTTTAAAGAGCCTAGATCACTTGTAGCACATCAAGTAAAGAAACTTTGCTGCAAGACCTTGAAGTTTATCTAAAGAAAAAGGTTATGGAAGCCATATTTTCTCTTTTGGCACATTTGTAAAAAGGTATCACAATTGAAAAGGAGGAAAACCAACAAAATTATTTTTCTATATAACTTGTTTAGCACATAGAAGTTTAATGCGCAAATGAAAGTTGTTGAAGCACAATAGACTTTCCTGGTATTAGTAAAACCGCAATGAGTGTTAACACAGGACAAAAACTCATCAAGAGAAAATATGGCTGTGTAACAAACAGCTATTTATTTATAACAAAAGAACAATGAAATGAAGTTCTCTTGACGATCTTCTCCAGCTATGCACAAAATGAAAAATATTTTCAACACACATTCATTAAAGAAATTACAGCATAACATGTCAAAATAAATCCAGAATTTTTAATTAGTTCTTAATGCAGTATTCAGCACAGTTGGCACCAATCAAGCTTATTACAAAACAGAACATCCTTTGAGTAGTTTACCTGCACTACCAAGAGCAGCCGACAAAGAAAAAGAGGTTTTTCCATCTTTTTTTTAAACTTCTGGTAACAGACAAGTATTTCTACAGTGTACTTTGCTTTGCAGTACAGTACTTACCATTGTGTGCACACACTTAAGTCAATCCCTGTAAGAGCCTTGCAACAACGAATAGCCGTCTTTATCAGCACGGAAGGGTCCTTTTCTGGATCAGGTCCATCCAGTGATGGGGACCAGTGTCCTCCAATAGCCATAGCTTCATCTTTGCCTTTCATACCCACTAAAAACTAGACAAAAAGAGTCTTCTGAATGTTCCCCTACTGGGCGTAAAGAGTCATTTTCCCAAAGCACAAAGAGTATTTCATAGCCCATACACTGAAATCTGTGAGTAAACTGTCACATGATTTTGAAATCTGAAAATGAAAGTCAGTCAAGAAAGAGTTCAGTTATTTTTTTCCACAGAGTATTTCAGAAATGGAATAGGTTGAAAACATCATCACTCATTCTTGTTTGCAAGACTTTCCATCAAGTTTCTTTATTGGTATAGGCTTGTTCCTTTGCAATTAAAAGCCTTCTAACACAAGAGACAAACATATACTAATTTAAATGGTGTCTTAATTCTGATACACATTTATAGACGTTCCTGCTTAAAAGTGATAAAGCAAAGCTAAGACCACAAGAGCATTATATCTATAAATTCAAGTACTCCCATTTGCTTTAAGATGATGGAGTTTAATTGGAAAACAAGTCTGTATTGTCCTGAAACACCATAGCACTTACAGGTTGTTCAGTTTAACAATAGTTAAATTTCACTTAATACAATGGTTACTTAACTGTTGCTTCATTTGTATTCTCTTCACAGCTGAGCCCTTAAAAAAAGTCTAAGTGCTTGTAAAAAAAGGCTAACAAAGTTAATTATTATATAATTAATATAGGTTTCTCCAAATATCTATTTTGTTTGAGTATGACTAAGTTGAAGAAAACAGTAAATATGAAAGCAGTGAAGATGGAGCTCCTATCAACTGGAAAAAGAATTGACATATAAACTAGGTCTCTTCAGAGGAAAAATGAAGCCATCATTTAGCTGCCTACAAACTCCTCCCTTATCAACAAATATTTTAAAGCTCCGTAACCAACCTTTATTGCCAAAAGTGTCTGGCATTGAAGCATATTTACCTTTACAAGTCTAGCAGGATGCTGAAATCCATCACGAAGTTCTTGGGGATCTTCAGCCAGAGCACATGACTTGTGATAGAGATCTTCCATACTAGGACTAGCCATCAACATCACCTGTTGTGTAAGTCAGATCAGTCTTGTGAAGGTCTCCCACTATGACCGGTAAACAATGACCACAACTTGCAAACATACACATAGCGGTACTTTTTCCTTAATGTCACAAAAAATCAGAACAAGTAAAGGTAAAATAATATTGTAGAACTGAGTGTTAAAATGTCTGCCAAGGACCAGTTTCCCTCTGTCCCATATAGATGCAATGTGTGATCTTATTAAAAAAATAAACGGAAAGCATATAAAAGCAACATGCTTCGCGTGTTATCACTATATACACTAAATACCCTATAGCACACTGAGTTTGTGTACTGGTTTCAGTAACTGACTCCTTCCATCTTGTCACAATCGCAAGAGAACTGACCAACACAATCATCTGCATCCTCATAGCATCCCGTTAGCCCAGTCAAATCTAACAAGGTTGCTTTATAACCTAAATAGGTTAATATTATGAAACAGGATGCTATTCCTCAGTTACTGAATATATTTTGAAGCTTAACCTTCTGAAAGAGAGCTCTTGCTCTGCATCAACAGACTGAAAAAAAACAGTACGTCTGATACTTGAGCCAAGGCTTCAAAGTTTTTATACACAGAAAGCAAGTAAAGTTAAATATTTCAGAAATAAAAGAAAGCATTAAAGGCAGTTTTGTTTCTAAACCTCTCTTTAACATGAAATACTTCTAAACCAGATTAAAATAGGTCTGAGAATTCTAGGTCAATGAAAGAGCCTTCAAATGGAACGGGTTTTAGGAAGACGTTTTGACACTGAGGTCTTTTATAGATCATTACAGCCCTTGACGCAGCATTTTTTGACATTCGGATAATCCCAATATGCTCAATCTACTTTCAACAAAATAATAAATATTGAGATGAATCTGAAAGAAGAAAGAAAATATCACTAAACAGAAAAGCACAAACTGCACAGAAAGGACCCTTGAAGGAAAAAAAAGGGCTCAATTAACTATTCAGATTAATTGCCTAAGAAATACATTCAGAGATCTTGCGGGAGCTGGCTTTCTTTCCTATAATCAGATCAGTGCAACTGGGTGCAGAGAATGGAAGAGACCTCAGTAAAAAACAAGATTTAGGACAGCTCTAGTAACAGAAAAACAAACTGAGTTTCAGTCATGATTCTTCAAGCTCTACATACTAGCTCTTTACTGAAAAGTTTAAAATGCTGTATTTTGCTCAAATCGCTGTAGAACATTTTCAGTTCAGTTATACTCACTTTTCTACCCTATTGGTAAAAAAAATTTCTAATGAATAGTCATAATACCGGAAACCCGTACAAACCTTTGCACTGTATAGATGATCAGCATCGGGTGGATCAAGGACAGCAGCATTTTTATCTATAGGATCTACTTCTCTATGCATTACGTAGAAATTACAGTAGTTTCCCAGCTGAAATGGTCTAGACATAGGAAAAGCATCCACCCATGTAAACTGAGCATCAAAGAAATCGCTTGGGATAAAAAAGTTCTGGTAACGCCTTCTCAGCTCCATCATATCACAGCTACGGCTGAAATAAACAACATTATTTGAAAGATACAGCAATAAAAGAACCATTAATAAAGCACATAATTAAGAGGTATATTAATTGGAAATACAATTGTATATTTAATGTTATATAAAAATATATAATATATATAAAACATAGATAAATATGATTGAAGTTTAAAAACAAGTAACTACTAAACACTCTTCCGATTAAGGTCTCTGCAAATTAGGGAATATTTAAACAGGGTTATAAAGGTATTTTGCAGTAGCATTCAAACATAACAAAGAACCTAGAAAAAGTTTATCATACAAGGTTCTCAGCCATTACATATTTGATCTTTCTTTAAAGTTAAGATCATCATTTAACACTTGCTACACACACGTGTGTTGATACGACTCACAGTAATCTGTGCCCACAATTAAAGTGAGATGTAGGTAAACATCTGGCACTATAAACATACCAGTCCAATGAAAACTTGGAAAACTGCACCGTGTAACGAGGAACAACACGTCGCGGTCTTCGAGGTGACCTCTCCCTCTCTCGTCTAGGTGATCTCTCTCTGGAGCGTTTTCTCTGGGGCGATCTTTCCCGGGACCTACGTCTCTCTCGTTCTCTTTCACGACTTAAAAAATGCATACAAGATACAAATGTTTTTGCATGCTGGTAACACACAATGGTTTCTAGCGCAACAGAAGCTAGACCTGTCAGAAATGACTCACAAAAAGAAGAGGAGAAGTTCCTCATAGTTTGTTTCAGTACTGTCTCTTTACAAGAGACTGATTATGCAATTCCTTCATTTCAGATAGACAAGAACTCTTCACTAATATCTAATGGTAAAGCCACTTGTGCGTATCACTGACTCACTCTGGAGCAAGCAGCTCAGCTCTGTTTGAAGACGGGTCTTTACGGAATGTTTTGATTATAGTCTAGTCTTCTACAACATACCTCCTGTCATCTTTTCGGTTTGGCATAGGGTCTCCTCCTCTGTCATTCCTCCCAGAAAATCTGGATGGTGGGTCTAATCTTCGAGCCGGTTGAGGCTGTGAAACTAGACGAACAGGGGGCTGTAACAAACCACCTGAAACAAAAATTTACAAGATCAATACATAATAGTGGGCAACTATCTACACTTTACAAACATTGCTGCTTTACAGTTGTTTCACCTGTGTACATTTTCTAAACTAACTATAGAGTCAAATAAATCTATTTATTAATAACACACACCCTAAGAAACCCAAGAGACCTATGCTTTTCTTCACTGATGCAAACTGAGACTCTAGTAAGTGAAATTGGTTTAAAAAGCATCTTCTTAAGATGGAAGCTAATATAGTCTAAGCACATAGAAGCTATCACAGTAAATAGCTAAGCCTTTTCTTAGAAAAGTAATTTGTTTTAAGATAGATATACTACCTACTCACTGAATTAAAGAAAATCTAACTTATTTTTGAGGCTATTCATAGGTAAAAACAATTAGCTTCCCAAAAAATTATTCTTAAATCAATTTATTATACTGCCACATGAATCCCCCAGCAAATACTCTTGCTGTCTCAAGGCATTTAACCAACTGATTGTAAATGGAGCAAACATTACTAAAATTCAGTGAACAACTAGGACTAATTAGACTGTAATAAGCATTTATCCAAAACAGTTCTGCTTAGGTAATAGCTTCAGATCTTCTCTTGTTTTTACTGTGGGTAAGATAAGTCTTAATTTTATCTTATTATCAATCCTATTACTGATTCTTCAGCCACTCAAAGTTCAAGTGACCCCACAACAACCTTTGTTTTAGATTTGCCATGTTCGGCAGTGTTTCTTCTCTCCAATGCCAACTTGGCTAACTGAAATAAATAAAACACAAATACAGAAATAATAGTTTTAACAATACAACTGTGTGAAACCTGATCTTGTTGAACACTCCAGACGATGCTGAAGAACTACACTGCCATTAATACTTTCAACTCCCCAACTTGTCTGTGAAAGCATCAGAATAAAAACTACATTGTATTTGCTTTCAGATTATGAAATCTTAATGTGAACAGGAGTCCATGGGGATTTCACTAACCAGGCGATTCTTGAGCTATTTCAGGCAACATAATGTGCCTTGCATATAGCTGCAGGAAGATGCATATTCAAACTGAAAATTCTGTAGGGCCCTTTCCGTATTATTTCAACTATTACTTCAGTCTTCTGACTAACAAAAAAAATAATCATCACACACTAAGTACCAGAAGGACTACAACAAACTTTGTGCACTGAAGGAGCACCTTTCTGCTGTGGCTGCTGCAGTAATGGCTGAGGCTGTGTCTGAAGCAAAGGTGTGATTGAAGCTGCTGATATCTGTGCCTGCAACAAGGACTGTGGCTGCGGCTGTGCCTGAACACTGAATGCAGTCTGCTGTGCAATGGGCTGAAGAACTGCCGGAGGTGTCTTCAGTAATGGCTGAGCTTGCGTCTGGTTCTAACAGCAGAAGAGAAAATGAGTTGCAAGTGAGCTTGAACCAGAAGCAGTCAGTACAAGTTACACTGGGTAACCCCATATACCTGATTTGGAAGTGTCTGGATCCTTTGTGCATTCCATTTGAATGGCATATTAGGATTGTAAGTAGCTTCTACCAAAACTCTGTCACCCACCTGAGGTGTCTTTCCTTTAACAGCACTGCAAACATTACAGAAAATGTATTGTGAGAGCCTTATTTAGCTAGTTTTACATTTACAAGTTACATTTAAAGTTGAGAGAAAGTAGGTAAGAGTTCACTAAAAAAAGCTTATAGGAACAGCATCTACCCCCAAATTCAGTGAAAATACTATCTGCTTCAGTTCAGGGTATGCACAGGTATTTAATTTCTGTCTTTGGCCCAAAAGCAGAAGTTCCCTAAACAGTAATGAGTTAAGATAGGCAGATAGCAAGTTGTATGGATTTAATGACCCACAAATTCTGCAATTTCATATTATAAGGAGCTTAATACCTTCTGAGCCTCCCAGCTTTGTTTTTGCATTAAGAAAACTCAAAAATTCACATAAAGGAACTCACATCTAGTGTCTATTAACCTATTTGACCATCTGACTTTCAGTGTTGACAGAAAAACCATACTAACTGCAGGCACTATCAATGGAGTGACAGAATTAGAATGCAATAATCTAAACCTTTTATTTAGTGAGGGTATCACAGAGTACATCCGCAGGCAAGTATTTACAACTTACCTAAGTTGAAAAAATACATCTTCATCCACAAAACCAAATGTATCATGTAGTTTAGTAACTACCCCGGTGAAGACACGCTGCTTTTGTGGTTGGGTTTGCTGTTGACTCGACCGAGGTGCTGGATAAGAAACAGTTATCTGGGCTGCCGGTTGAGGAGTAGACAGGCTGAGACTGGTAGGTAGCGCAACAGCTGGCTGTAAGCAAAATAAAGCAAACTATAAATCTTATAACCAGCTGACATACCTACAAGGAACAGTTCCTTTACCCATGTAGACAGGAGCTTAAGAAGTCTCTAAAGCAATTATTTTGAATAGAGATATTCAGAACATGGAAGTTGTTTGGGGTTTTTTTTAGATTACTTTTTTCCTACTTTGAATGAAGACTGGCTTTGTTTATGCTTTTCTTTTAAAAAAGTCAACTTCCCCAAAATACACACATTGTCTAGAAAAAAAATGAAGACTACGTTATTGTTTACAGGTGACTTGTACAGTGGGCCTGAGGAGGAGATAAGTTCCTAACTTTCCTAGGAATACACGCTTAGACATTATTCTCCATTTATACCCCAACTGTAGTTGGAATATAAATGTAATGTTGGAAGTCAGTAAAGGCTGAGGCTAACACGAACCCTTCCTTAACTCAACAATTCACGTGCTTGCCTTCTTACAAAAGCAGAACACAGTAAGATAATGAAATAAAATAACCTATTTTTACTTTTTTTAAAGCATGTTTAAAAGGTTAAGTGAAAACAGAACTAGAGCAATTTACAGTGTGTTAAATGGTTGCATGTTTTAAACCTATCAAGCTCAGCAGGATTCTTTTTAAACCTCTCTATACACATACTGCAATACTGTTAACACAGAAAGTTAAATTCCTTCTCAAAGGAGAGAAAGAAAGATTTTCCCAGTTTGTTACTTACTGCAAAACAACTGAACACTTGAAGTTCAAACAAAAAAAAATTATCATGTAATCAACACACATATTCCCTTCAAGATTAAGGAAAAGCGGTTGCCATTAATTTTTGAAACCAAGGCTATGCATATTTTAACATCTGGGCAAAATAAACCTGAACCAATAAAATGTCCATTCATATTAGTTCATTTTACAGATTAAACTACCCAAGACGTCACAAATTTGCACTCTTACATTATCTGTGTTTGGGGATGAAGACCAAACAATAAAACCAAACTAACCTGAGTTAAAAGGGTCTGCTGAGGTTGCTGCAACTTAAAATAAATAAAGTTATAAATTAATTTTATATGCTTAAGGAAACTGTACAATTTTACCTCCTCTTTACAAGTAAGAGTTTTTGCTTAATCTGAGTCAGTTAATAGCCCTTTGGGGTTTGGTCATTTCAGCAGTTTGCATATGCATAAAATTGTGCTCATGTGGTTAATTTTAAGATTGTATAATCCAGTTTTATTCAGTAAGCAAAAATGGTAGGTTTTTTGTAACTGAAAGTTAATAGCAATACCAAAAAAAGTTTTGGTAGCTGAAGAAGCTTAGGCCTGTAATTTCCATGTCCCTTTATTCTTTTTCAAAATCCTGTTAAGTTCCAAGACCATAAAAAAAAAAAAAGTGAAAGGGAACTTTTTTTGGACAGCATCTTTCCAGCAGTTAAAATACACGGCCCTGTTTAGAGCAAAGTTTAGCAGGAATCGTGTACACATGGAATAGCATATATTTTTAAATTTCCTTTTTGCATGAAGGTAGGCAGGCTTCCATTCTGGATAAGTCTCTCCAAGTTTATGAGCTTCAAGCTCTCTTTCACTACAAAAAAAAAATTAGTTTCCTTAACAACTTCCCATACGAGGATGATTTTGGACACAAAACCTTCAAGACACACAACCAACATTATTTTTAAAGTTATTTGTGATGTACACAGTAAGAATCAGACAAACCTGTTGCTGTACACTATAGAGAGTCTGCTGAGGTTGTGAATATTGCTGAAACAGATAAAAGCAAAATATCTCATAAACAGGAAGTATTATTACCCCAATAATACCAAATACAAGTTATCTGCTAAGCAAGTTTTAGACAGAAACTATCCACATTTAACAATTCTAATACAAAACATAAGTAATAGCATCAACATATACTACTTTCCTAACAAATACTCTTAGAGTGGAGTATTCTAGTATATAGTAGAAAAGAGTATTCTTTTCTAGCTAAAACCGGCAATTTTTGTTAAGCCTGACACTTATACAGTATCTAGGGCACAGCATGAAATCATGCAAAATGCTATTAAGGGTATATATAGTGATGGAAGATACTTGGAACTTGAGATTCTCAGTTTAGGTGCAGCAGAACTCCTTTTCCCAAAAGGCTTTCCATAGCTAGAAGTCAGAGCACCTCCATAGCCAAAATTCCCACCTTCACAGATAAATACAACTATTGATAGCTGTAAACCTAAAATCCCACTGTTTAAAAAACAGGTTTATACTGCAATGTTCACCATTTCCCATTCTGCTTTTCTCCTGGATACTTTAGCTTTACAAAGCCACTGTTTTGTATTGTTAAAATTCATACAGTCAACAGCAAATGCTCCTTTTTCTTTACCTGCTGTAATGCAGCTGCTGCAGCTGCAGCTTGCTGCTGTAAAGCAGCTGTCTGAGTTAGCTGATAGTTCGTTGGTGTTTGTGTAGTTAGGCCTGCTGCTGCCAATGCCGTCTGCTGGGTGTATATTGTAGGAGAGGCTCCAAGCAGGGATGGCTGCTGTACACCAAGAGCAGCTGAAAAGAGAACACACACAATAAGCACTAAGAGCAACTTTAAACAGTTGAGGCTTCTGACAGTTTGACGCAGCACGTGATGCTTCAGTCCTGAGTCAAGCCCATGAAGTAGATAAATCCAATTTCAAAATTCAAGATAAAGGATCACACCTCACTAGCTTCTCTTCTAAATTCATTTACAAATAGTACACCACAGCAGAGGCACAGAGACCACTTAATTTCCTTCTCTCAAGTTGCTCATGCTTTTATAGCTCTAGTAGTCGTCATCCCCGTTTGTGCCCATCCCTAACACATACACACACTGTATTCTTTCTTGAACGTATTTCAGGTTTTGGATAAGCCAGATGAAGATTGTTGCTCTGTTCTGTAAATTAATTAATACATTTCATTCTATCTGAGGGCAAGAGAAATCTTTACTGTAATAGCAGCTATGAAACGGAGGCTTATGGAACATGTTCTCTGAAAATGCACAAGGCTTCACTTCACTCAGTACTGTCTTTGTCCCTGAGTGAGCTGGATTTGGGGGCTGGTGGAAGAGGAACAGCCTTATAACAACAAGGAGTTTAATCGGTCCCCATATATAAAGGGACCAAGTCAAGCTCTCTCTAGCTCTTACTAGGAAGGGTTTGTGCTGCCCAGACTCAAACTGCCTGGAAGGAAAGATTTATTTTATTGTCATATCAGCTTTTAATTCACTGCAGAAGATTAAGCAAATCATGAGGAGCAGCTATCCACATGCTGTGCTGCTTATGCATGTGATACTGCCAAACAAGGTATGCTTAAGCCTTATGGATGGAACTTTTAGGTACAAAGAGCCCTGCACAATGCAAATCTGAGTGAAGAACTGCAAACGTATCTAGAAACCTCCTCCCTCTTTGGCAGGAGTTTTAAAAAAAGTTATCTACAGCTTCATGATCAACCATCACTTCATCATGCTATCAGTCTAGTCCACATGTTTAAATAAAACCAAAGAGAAACTCAGCAGGGAAACATAATTGCCAGCAAAAACATGTTGGTCAGCCACCTTCAGAACTGAAGAACATTCAAGTTGAACAGGGTTCCTTTCTCTTCCAAAGCCGTTAAAGAGGCACAGTGAAATGAAGAACAGATTTACAGTATTCTTTCCTGCAGTGCTCCACACTATTCTTACTGATCCAAAATGAGGCTGTCATTCCTGACCCAGGGATGCAGCAAGAGATTGCTTGTAGTTGGGGATCATCACCATAGAATATATAAAAATGCTGTGACCAACTCAACAGATCCTGAATAAGGTAATCCTCTCTACCATGCTGTTCTTTCCAGCAGAGCACAATCTTCGGAAAACAAGTTGATGGTACTGATCATCTTATAATTTTGGAATGAAACATGGAAGAAATACATAAGCAACAGTGAAAATAATCACCATCACTATGATCTGTATCAAATATTGTCACATAAGTATTCCAGTAAGTAATATTATTTTAATAGTGAAATCAAGCATTCTATAGTACAGCAAAATGACAGTATTTCCAGTATTACATGATTTTTTTCCCTGGAAAATTCCAACATTCGGCTTTCTTTAGAAGCCAAGCAAGCCAAATCTGAGGCTTCTCCCGTGACAGGCCCTCCATTCTCTTGATCCTCTTGCTTCCTGCTTGTCCATCAGCTCCAACTTGAATGTGCATTTTTGACCAGCCAGAAGCACACTCTCATCTGAAACCTCACCAATGCCTCACATAACACACCTTAAACAGACCTTTAAATCTAATCAAAATGCTTTGCTGCTGCATCCTGGGACAACTTTCAATTTTCTTAGCTGCATTACTTTGCTGGCCCACTCAAGGCAAATAACCAACGCGTTAATCTTTCTCCTCTTTTTCCACACGCTGAGCAGAAATTCCTATTAGTGCAGAAATTCACTTCATGCTATTACCTTTGAATCTGTTTGACCATGTTAGCTATTGTCATTCAGTCTAATGTTCTATTCTAGTGTTGTACCAACAAAGGGGATGGAGTTGGGAAGCATCATCAAGCAAGTTTCACAAGTTCTCTCCTACTTTTTGTACCAAGGATCCCAACAAAAATATCAACATGCTTGCTCCCAAAACGAGATCTTGGGGTTACTCCGCTCTTCAGTTTCCACTATGTCAACTTCCCTTCCAGCATAACCCATAACTATCTCAAACAATTCCCAGCCCACCCTAAGACTCTTATCCTGTTTTGTCCATTAAGGGGGTGGGAGGGAGGGGGAAAGATTTTTTTGCCACCTCTACTGTCACTTCATGAGCATTTAGTATTAACTGGGTATCATGTCATCTACAACACTGCAGATCAACTTACTAACAAAGGGCAAAGACAAAAGACTGCTGAGATCCCCTAAAAGGAAACACCTATAGTAACAAGTTTTTCAAAGCTGTATCTTGTTCCTACCGATTTGCCCCAAAGTATTCCCGGAGTTTAATTTGACTACCTTTCATCTATGTACTCATCTCAGTCAAACAGGCCCCGATTAAATAGGTGACTATGTTTGCATTACTAGTTTAAAAAAAAAAAAAAAAAGAGGAAAAATCACACAGAAAAGCAAGACAGAATAAATTGCAGACTGAGTGCAGAATTGACATCTGACTGCCATATTATTATTATTGGCAACAAGCATCTGCAGTGACAAACAATAGCTTCTTAGGATTTGTAATTATCTCAGTAAGTACAGCGATGGAGATGCCTTCCTTCAAATGCAGTCTAAACAACTTCCATTCGCACCAAATACTGCATGGCACGTCCATCTGAAAGGGCATGGATAGAAATTGGAGTTCTAGGCTGCAGCTCAAGCATCTTTCTAGGTAACAGAAATTTCTCTTGTAGCAATCACAAAGACAGTATTTAGTAGTCCCTCTTGCTGCTTCTGAATTCCAGAGACCCTTTAAGATTAGGGAAACATCTTCAAAGTATATAGCTACATATATCTCCTTGGTAAGTGATGTAGATTTATTAGGATTACAGTAAAGGAGTACCCTACCTAGGGCTTTGGACACTTTTCACAGTTGTCAGAAATTGTGAGTTTGGGTCCTTGGGTTTTTAAGTTTCTTCAAGCTTAACACACTTGCAATACAAACGCCATACAACCTACTCCAAAAAAATTCCTTTTAACAGGCACACAATAGAAATAGGCTCAGTGTATTTATCACAGGACATCTGTTTACAGCAAGCCATCAAATTGTGCATCAGCTGCTATTTCTTAGCGGCTCTGAGACCCACTACATGCTTGTCCTATTCTTACACTTTTCTTCAGTCACCTCACAGGGGCCACCAGCAATAACAAGATACTGAGCTTCAGGCACTGTTGCTTTCATCAGGTGCACTGTCCTTCACTCTAATGCAATGAAATCTTGATATAGCAAAGACGATGACACCAATCAGTCAGAACGCAGCATAGCTAGGAGGTCCCCTTGACTACAGTTCTATAAAAACAGGCATCACTGTGCAACCAGAAATCACAACCCTGAAAACAGCATATGCCAAGCACTGCGATACAAACCAAAGACATGTCAAAAATCAATAGCTGAGAGAATAGGAGGGGATTCTCCTTTGCAGGCGTTTCAGGAACTTGCACATCATTATGCAAGTTAGAAGTATAAAGAGTACTTGCAAAAAGAAATCTGTGCTATCTAGGAATTTTATAATTTTTAATTTTTTAAACTTTAATTTTCTGTAGTAGGCATGATTTAATTTATGCTTTAACAATGCTTAACCAGCATAGCAGGGACTTTATTCTGGTTTTAGTCATGTGATGCACAAAACCATGAGACAAGGAGTAGAGAAACAATTTCACTGTGTTACAGGTAGGAGTCTCTCTTCACACACAGATCTTTGCTGGCACCTGGAATTACCTATCTCTCTTCTAATACCACAGACACAGACAGTAATTAGTAAGCTATCCCAAAGGGATCCCAGGAACCCTTCATTACACAGCATGTCACTCTACAACTACCTTAGAGTGTCACACCTTAACCTGAGCCTTAACTCATATCGTTACTTCTTCACCAGGGATGGCCAAGACAGCATCCAAGTCAGCAATACAAAAAAAAAAAAACAACAAAACACCAACACACAACCCCACCCCTGAAATTACCTTTTTGCAATTATCAAACTGGGTTTATAACACCATCACTTACCACTTTTGACAACGGCTTAAGAAAAAGCTATATATCACATTGCTTGTGTTAAAAATCAAGATCTCTTTCCCCCATACCCAAGCACCTCGATGCTTTTGAGAAGGAACCTGACACTTGGATAAAAGCAACTAGCATGCATAAAGATACATAACACGTTTTGCAAATCTTCTGAAAATACGTAAGAGTTTGGTAAATGCAGTTCTTCTAAATCAGTTTATGAACATTGAGCTTCACAAGGGTAAGCCAATCTGCACAACTTCTTGAGCGCAGCCACAGGTGAGAAGTAGTACATGCTAGTCAGCATGCCTGAGCACTGACAACATCTCTTTTCATCATGCAAGCAACCTAGCCAGACAGTCATAGCTTCATGTTGAAAGGTGCGTGAAAGGTGACTACTTGGCTGCAGTTCAACAGTAAACACTGTTCTTCAGCTCTCAGCAGGGCCAAAGAGCACTGCATACTTTTCAAAAGAAGTCTCCTGTGCTGTCTATTATAAATCATTATAAATCAGAATTGCCAATAAAAAAAGCAGGGCAACAAGTATGTACATGGGTACTAAAGCAGGAGCTGGGCAGCAGAATTCCGGAGACTGGATTCATTAGTACAGGCAGGGAAGAAAGAGGACACAGACACAGTGATTGTGTATTGCAGTAGGAATAGGAAAGGACTGCACAGAAGGACACAGGGAGCTAAATGCCTTCAAGTGATACTGGAGAGAAAATACTACAGTGTGAAGAGGGACACTAGGAACATGAAGGAAGGTGGAACTAGCACAGGAAGAAGGCAGAAGTACAACCAAATGTTAGTCTTTAATGGCTCTCATGTTGGAGTCAGTTGCTGCTGGATGAGATGAACAGCTAAAAATCCCTGGAGATACTGTCTTCATTGAGCAGGTGAAAAAACTCTCACAGCAAGTGATGCTGACTAGTCCTATTCCAATTAAATTTTGCACTTCATTTAATTTAAGGAGGGTCAGAAGTAGGCTAACCAAAGGCAGACTTATAGGAACAGGAAAATGGATAAGTTGGTGTGTGCTTCTAGTGCCCTTGCTCCATCCACCTCTTCTCCAGGGCCCCCTTCTGGTCCTGGCTCAGCAAGGTCTAAGATGGCTGCCAGCTCCTCCCTTTCAGCAGGTTTTATGCAGCTTTCCCTCTGAAACAGGACATGCAGCTGGCCCTCAAGTCTTCCACCACTGTATTTGATGCACTAGCTGTCACATCAGCCAACCTATCAAGAATACTCCAGCCCAGATGCTGCCATCCTTTGATCGCTCCAAGGTATCACCCAGTCAAACACAAAAACCAAAAGCACAGTTTGTCTCTCTCCCATGTTCCCAATGACGACCCTTTCCAGCTGTTAAGCAATTTCTTAGAGAGTAGTGCCATTTGGATAAGGGAAGCTATTCAGAGCTTCAGAATAGCTATTCAGAGAAACAGTGCAAAACTGCTTGTAGGCAACTGGTTAGGTACAACAACATTTTAGGTAAAGAGTGGGACTGAATGGGCATGGAGGAAAAGGAAAAAGTACACTGGGACCAAGTATTGTGAAACACATGGGGGGTGACAGTTCCCAGATGATACGCACTCAGATTGGACCAATGCCCAGAGTAAAAAAAAAATGGAGATAGAGGAGCAATTTCAGGAAAGAAAACCGAGTCAGGAGAAAAATTTGTTCTTTTTTTTCCCCCAGACATACACCTCCGAAGAATGGCAGGCATTCCCAACTTTTGCTAAGCTCCCAGATGTAAAACCACTGACAAAGGAGGTATGTCATTCAACTTCGTATCAAACTAGAGCAAGATGCAAAGGACAATGGCAAAAATCATACAACTCTTCAGAAAGACATCTCTTCAACAAGGTTACTGCCTGTGCTCACATTTTGACATCCTGAATCCTCAAAGTACCACAGCTTTGTTGAAGCCTTTTCACATCAGACAATGAAACTACAGTATTTAGGAAACACTTTGTATTCAAGCAAGAGAAAAAGGCAGCCCAGAACTGGAAATGGAAGCACCACGGTTCACCATGCAGCAAGCTTCATATTCTTGCCTCAAAACCTTTTATGCTATAAAACAATGTGAAACATGAAAATCTAGCCAGCTAGGTTTTTAAATACACTAGCCTGCAGTTAAATAAGGCTTCTTAGCTAAATCAAAGGAAACCCTCTATCATTATCAGGGCGATACCTTTGGTTATAGGGATCCTTGAGTTCTAACTTGGCATTAAAAAAAATAAAATATACCCCCTCCCCATCCAAGCAGCAAATTTCAGAGACTGCTTCACTATGTGAAGTATGTCCAATATATTAGTAAAGGCAAAATACTTTGTAAACATTGATTTAGGCTGCCCGGGAAAGGAAACTCGGGCAGCACTTAAAAAATCTGTAATGTCTTATTAGTGCTGTTATTATTTAATCTAGAGCAATGCAATTTGATGAAAGGTAATTTGATTTACACATCTTTGGATATGAGTAACAATATCTTGTTTACTGACCAAGAGAATCAATAAAAATTCAGCTGGGATTTTACTTATCACCCCTTAAAAAAAAGCCAACCCAACAGCTACTATTAGGCAATAATCTTTAATGTCTCTATTGTGTGAAAACCTCCCAATTTAAACCACTTAAATAGAATTTAAATAAGTTAGTTAGCGTGGTGCCACTCTTAACTGCATACCCAACTATGGAATCTCCAAATCTACTAGATGTCAGGGTTCAAATATTAAGTGATATGTAAACTGACCTGGCTGAGATACTGCAGTAGCTGTAAACTGAGTAGCCCAAGGGGGATTCTTCTGTCCTCCAAACTGAGCCATGGCGAAAGGCAAAATCTCCTGGGTGTCTATCTTCTATAACTGCAATCTATTAAAATAAAGCGCAGCTACAATCTTTGAAACATATACCATCAGGCTATTTTAATTCTGGGTCAAAAAAAAAGAAAAGAGTGTTGAAAGATTATCTTTACACCCCTAAACCTGGTGGGCAACACGCATCAGAAGTGGGAAACGCAGAAACTTGCAAGTTATTATATTTTCCTAGGGCACGATCTCCACCCTCCCCTTCTTAACAATGGGACTAACGCTATTTAAACACAAAAATTTATTCAAGTTTCCAACGAAGACTAAGGAAAAGGTGACCCTGCAGAACGAAAAATTTTTATTTTTTATTATTATTTCTTTTATAGGGCTATTGCTACGCCGCCGTTTGGAAGCGCTGCCGGCAGAGGAACAACGTACGCTTTCAGCCATGGTTCAGTTTCCCTCTCCTCGAACAAGGGCAAGTTAACCACGCGAACATGGCAGGGCCGCTCACCAACTCCGCGGCGC